CCGCCCGAGGGGTCAGGTCTGTTTGCTGCCACGTACGCAAGGTGAACGTCGAGGGTGAGGTTCTCGTAGAAGATGACATCACGTGCTGCGACTGTTTCTTTGCTGTTGATGTCGAAGATTTTCCATGCGTTGTAGTGTTTTTCGATGCCCAGGTGTAGTCCCCACTGTGCTCGCTTGGAGAATCGGCCGGCGCGTGCAGATGGGGGTCGGTACTGTACCATGCAGCCGAAAACTCTCAACATTTTTGTGCTGCCCAATTTTCCTGTCCACAGCAGGTGCGGTGATGCGTTGTTCGGGAGCGATGATGACGAGAGCAAGTTGTGCAGCATGACGGCGTGGTCCATTGCTTCGGGCCACTGGTGGTTGGGCAGATGCATGCCACGTAGCAGCTTGCGCATGGTGGCTTGGAGTGTCCTGTTCATCCTTTCTGCTACGCCTTGCTGTTGATGGGCGTAGGGAAGGGAGATGAGCCGCTTGATTCCCCTCTCTGCCAGGTAGTCCTTGAACCTCTGTGAGGTGTATTCTCCTCCCCCGTCTGACTGGAAACTTTTCAGTTTTACGCCCGATTCTCTTTCTGCTGCAGGAAGCCAGGCGACGAAGGCTTCGAAGGCCATGTCGCGGCTTGGAAGGTTGAGGTGCCAGACGTATCTGGTGGCGGCGTCGATGAAGGTGATCGTATAGTTGTATGCATTTTGTCCGGGCTCGCGGTTATATAGGATGTCACTGTACACCTTTTCGAGTGGTGTGTAGGCTGGTGCGCTTGGATTGTGGTGAGACACAAACGGCTGATGCGATAAGTCTGCTTCGGGACAGGTGAAGCATGTTCCTCGAGCTCGTTGAAGTTCTCTGCCGTCGGTCAGTAGAAGTGAGTCTTTGTCGAGTACCCCTGCTCTTATCATGTTGTTTAACACCGTGTGACTTGGATGTCCCATTCTTGCGTGCCAGGTTCCTTCGGTGGCGCGGTGTCCGGGTGAGCGTCGGTACATGTCGGAGTTGGAGTAGAAGCCGGCGGTGACGTTTGCGCTCCGGTGGACTTCTCGTCGTGCTGGGTTGAGCTGCTGCGCGGGTGTCGGTGGTGTGTTGTCGATGAAGGGCGGTGCCGTTGAAGGACCGGCGACTGGTGTTGATGTTCCTGCTGCTGCTGATGTTGTCTCTGCTGCTGCCGATGTTGTCTCTGCTGCTGCCGATGTTGTTTCTGCTGCTGCCGATGTTGTCTCTGCTGCTGCCGATTGTTGAATCGTTGCTAACGCCCTTGTTCTTTCTGTTTCAGGAATGGTGTGTGAATACCAGAAGCCGCCCGGACTGAAGTCTGGATCAAGATCTGGAGGGTGTGTCCAGTTGGTGAAGTTGACGATGGCGTCGCTGTCGGCGGTGCCAAGATCAGGAACGAAGTCAAGAACGAAGACGTTGTTCTTGAGGACCGCCTTGCCGATGTAGAGTCCTCCTCTCCCGTGGTACAACTTGAATTCTTGGGTGGTGCTGTCTGCTTCAAGATGAATCCCTTTTGCCATCAACTGACTGACACTCAGTAAGTTGTAGCCGAGGCCTTCTGCGATTAAGACCTTGGACATTTGCAGTATTACGTTTGTCTCCCGTGATTGAAGCTGTAAATGCCTTGTCGTCGTGTGCAGGTTCTGGTTATTGGCGACGGTGATGACGACTTCTCGCTGAAGTTGATATTCTCGTTGAACGAACCGAGCCGAGGAGCACATATGTTATCCGCAGCAGCTGTTCAAGAACCACGTGTCTTTCCCGAATGGCTCGCTTTGGGCGATGGCGGCGTATGTTGGGTTCGGCTGAAGTGATTCGCGGTGAGGTGTGGCGTTGTCAAGCTGTTCTTCCGGTGAGTAATGCGGTGGTGACTCGGTGATGCAGGAGTCGCTCAGTCTTGCCATGCAGCTGACGATGTTTCTTGTTCCTTGTGCAGGTTGTCCCGTTGGTGTCGTTGAAGCTTGAACTTGAGTCGTGGGATTTGCTTGCGTTGAGGCAACTGGTTGCTTGAAGGCCGAAGTTGCCGCTGCAGTGGAGTCGTTGACTGTTGACGGTTCGGGCAGTGCGTGCGCGGGTGCCCTGACGTCTTGCAGATGTGGCAAAATGGAGGTACAGGTTTCGGTTGATGTCGGGTGTTGTTGTTGTTGTAGCGTCGTTGAGTATGAAATGCGAACTCCGGTGCTGATGTCTTTCTCTTGTGCCGTTCCTCTTGCAGGTCCATGTCTTGCTGCTCAGCATGAATTTTGGCGCAGAGTGCTGTCTCAGAGACTCTTCCGTGGGCTCGGAGAATTGCCTTTGTGGCTCGCCATTGAGGACCGAGGCCGCCGATTACGACTGTCACGAAGGCGTCTTCAGAGATCGACCCTCCGCATCGAAGAAGCTTGTCGCGCAGTTCGCGACAGCGACTGATATATGCCAATCCCTTCTCTCCTGGTTTCATTTCAACCGATGTTAGCTGCGCCATTAACCGACTCTGATTAACGCTGTCTGTTGCTTGATACAGGTCCTTCAGGTGCTTGTACGCGAGCTCAGCGGAGTTGCCGTAACCCCGGTAAGACCGTATGTTCTGCTGCTGAGTCGGTGTAATATTCCTCAGTAGAATCGTGTACGCCATCATTGACTGATACGTGTTTTGCTGTTTGTCGTACTGTGTGCCGTGTATCGGGTATGGCAGGGACCCGTCGAAGAAGCCAAGTATCTGCGCGCCTTCCATCATCAACTCGAACTCGAATGACCAGGTGAAGAAGTCTTTACCGTCGAAGGGTCTTGATGTTTGTAGCTTCAGAACGTGCGCGAATTGCGACTGGACTTGAAGGGCATCCAGTGTCTTCTCTTGTCCAGGTGAAGGTTGTGGGTGTGGCGTGAAACTGATGGAGCCGTGCTGGGGCTCATATGGCGCAAAGGTAGGTTGCTGCTGGTTTCCGCGTACGATGAACCATCGAGACTCATTGGAGTCACTTCGTTGTTGTTGTTGCTGTTGTGTGACTGCGCAGGTGCCGACTGCTGGTGTTGCTCGTAGAAGGACATGAAGGAGAAGAATTTCTCCATCATGCTCTGGTCGAAGCTGGCGGGTTGATTCGAAGGAGTCTCAGTGGATGTTGCTCTGGGTCTTGTTGCCGTGCCTTCCTCTGTCTGCAGGCCAGAGGCAGGAGGTGGAGTAGGAGTAGTGCCAGGAGAACCGTTAGAGGAACTCCTTTCCTTCTGTGTCGCCATGCCTTGTGGTGTTTCTAATGACTTGATAGTAGTGGAGTTTCCCCTGTGAGCTCTCATACCATGTTGGGCTGAGAAAAGCCCTTAGGATCTTTTGCAGGGGTGAACTCTAGGTAGGAACTATGTAATAGCGGAAGCGTTAATGAAGAGATTGTGAACCACCTTGCGCTGGTATGTGAGGGCAAAGTAAGTTGATTATAGCAAAGAGATACAAGATTATATAATAGTACAAGGAATACGAAAAGATACGGTTATAACTGCTTTAGTGTTGCTGTTGCGGTTCGATACAGTACGACTCGGGCAACTGCTCTGTAACGAGTCAGTTGTGTGTCCTTAACTGTCGTGCTGCACTTGTCAGGTCAAAGGTCGCTGACCTTTGACTTTCGCGTAACCTCCTTTGCATTTGTACCCACCTCCTTTCCTAATCAATCATTCCGTTTTGTTGTGTTCACTTTCTAAGACTTTTCTCAGCCCAGCATCTTTTATCCGGGAGATTACGGTACATACGGTACATGTTTATTTGGCTTATGAGGAAAGAACTTCTCTGGTGATCAGTTCACAAAGATAATCACAGTGCGTATAATGGGGCATGAGCGGGCACAAGGGCATCGATGTCAATGACATCACTGAAGAAGACACCACGTGGTAAATCAGCCAGAGACGGTGGCACATTGTCAGGGCTCAATTCCTCACATCCCTCTAGCACAAATAGGTGCAGGCGCGTCGAACTGCCGATGGCACTTGGGAGTGAGTGCAGGCTGAATGCTTCCGTGAGTACTAGACTGCTGCAGGGTGCAGGACAGCGGGATGGCAGGGGACAGGGGAGGAGAGAAAACGAGGAAACAAGGGCGGAGAGAACGGGTGAGAGACGAAAGCAGAGAGGAGCGTCGAAAGATGTAGAAACTCTAGCCTACGCCACTCACCACTCTAGCTTACACCACTCACCACTCTAGCTTACACACCACTCACCACTCTAGCTTGACACCACTCACCACTCTAGCTTACACCACTCACCACTCTAGCTTACACCACTCACCACTCTAGCTTACACACTCACCACTCTAGCTTACACCACTCACCACTCTAGCTTACACCACTCACCACTCTAGCTTACACCACTCACCACTCTAGCTTACACCACTCACCACTCTAGCTTACACCACTCACCACTCTAGCTTACACCACTCACCACTCTAGCTTACACCACTCACCACTCTAGCTTACACCACTCACCACTCTAGCTTACACCACTCACCACTCTAGCTTACACCACTCACCACTCTAGCTTACACCACTCACCACTCTAGCTTACACCACTCACCACTCTAGCTTACACCACTCACCACTCTAGCTTACACCACTCACCACTCTAGCTTACACCACTCACCACTCTAGCTTACACCACTCACCACTCTAGCTTACACCACTCACCACTCTAGCTTACACCACCACTCACCACTCTAGCTTGCCCATTCACCGTTCTCACTTGCCCACTCACCACTCTACCTTGCCCATTCACTGCCCTAGCTTGCCCACTCACCACTCTAGCTTGCCCATTCACCGCTCTAGCTTGCCCACTCACCGCTGTAGCTTTAATAGCTGTGGCAGCGATGGCGGCAGCGCGGAGAGGCTGTGGCAGCCCAGCAGGTCGAGCACCCGCAGGGAGCGAGCGAGGAGGTGCATGGCGGGTAGGAGAGCGAGCAGGGCGAAGCACGTGTGCAGGCGCAGGGAGGCGAGATGCGGGAGAGGAGTGAGGGAGGGAGGGAGGTGAGTGAGGGAGGTGAAGAGGAGAGTGTGAGATGACGCAGGGAGGAGAGGGTGGCGATGGAGACAGGGAGAGCGGCAGGGGAGGGGCTTGGAGGGAGGGGGGCGGATGGCATGGCGTGGACATGAGGGTGGCGGGTGCCGTAGCTGTGACGTGCACGCACGGCAGGTGTGGGGGGAGCGGATGGGGCGCTGTGCAGCACGAGAGAGGTGAGGCGAGAGAGGCCCGTGAGGGACAGCAGCAGCGCTGCCAGGAATGCCATCTGCTGCTCCCCTCCTCCCGCCCCCCTCCTGCCCCCAGCCCGCATGGCACCTCCAGGTGCTCCAACCTCGTGAGCACCCCCATGCTGACACCTGCTCCCTCATTCTCGCCACTTCTTCGCCTCTCATCGCCTCACCCTCCCCTCCTGCCGCCTCGCCCTTCCACCCTTCCTCCTCCCCCCCCCCTTTCCTCCTCGCGCTCCCCCCCTTTCCTCACTCCCCCCCTTTCCTCCTCTCCTCCCCCCTTTCCTCCTCTCCCTCCCCCTTTCCTCCTCGCCCTCCCCCCTTTCCTCCTCGCGCTCCCCTTTCTCCTCGCGCCTCCCCCCTTTCCTCACTCCCCCCTTTCCTCCTCCCTCCCCCCTTTCCTCTCTCCCTCCCCCCTTTCCTCCTCCTCCGCTCCTCCCCCCCCTTTCCTCCTCTCCCTCCCCCCTTTCCTCCTCTCCCTCCCCCCCTTTCCTCCTCCTCTCCCTCCCCCCTTTCCTCCTCTCCCCTCCCCCTTTCCTCCTCTCCCTCCCCCCCCTTTCCTCCTCTCTCCCTCCCCCCTTTTCCTCCTCTCCCTCCCCCCTTTCCTCCTCGCCCTCCCCCCTTTCCTCCTCGCGCTCCCCCTTTCCTCCCGCCCCTCCCCCCCTTTCCTCTCTCCTCCCCCCTTCCTTCCTCCTCTCGCCCTCCCCCTTTCCTCCTCTCCCTCCCCCCTTTCCCCTCTCCCTCCCCCCTTTCCTCCTCTCCCTCCCCCCTTTCCTCCTCCTCTCCCTCCCCCCTTCCTCCTCTCCCTCCCCCCTTTCCTCCTCTCCCTCCCCCCTTTCCTCCTCTCCCTCCCCCTTTCCTCCTCTCTCCCTCCCCCTTTCCTCCTCTCCCCTCCCCCCTTTCCTCCTCTCCCTCCCCCCTTTCCTCCTCCGCTCCCCTCCCCCCCTTTCCTCCTCTCCCTCTCCCCTTTCCTCCCGCCCCCCTTCCTCCTCTCCCTCCCCCCTTTCCTCCTCTCCCTCCCCCCTTCCTCCTCTCCCTCCCCCCTTCCTCCTCCTCTCCCTCCCACCTTTTTTCCCCTTTCCTCCTCACGTCCTCCCTTTTCCCTCCCTCCCCCCTTCCTTCCTCCCCTCCCTCCCCGCCTCCCCCCTTTCCTCCTCCCTCCTCCTTTCCCCATTCCTCCTCCTCCTTCCTCCCCCCCTTCCTCCTCTCCTCCCTCCCTTTCCCCTCTCCCCTCCTCCCCCCTTTCCTCCTCCTCCCTCCCCCCCCCCTTTCCTCCTCTCCCTCCCCCCTTTCCTCCTCTCCCTCCCCCCTTTCCTCCTCTCCCTCCCCCCTTTCCTCCTCGCCCTCCCCCCTTTCCTCCTCGCCCTCCCCCCTTTCCTCCTCGCCCACCCGCCACAGGCAGGAGCACACGGTGAGAGCAGGGAGCGCCACACAGTGCAGCCCGGAGAGCAGGAACGCCGGCAGCGGCGACACATGAGAAGCCCGCGACCCCTGGCTGCCATCCTCCTCGCCCTGCCCAGCTTTGCGGTGATGGCTGCACCCCCACGCGGTGCCAGGTGGGCCTGGGCGCCCCCACACCGTCCAGCAGTAGGTGCGTGAGGTGCGATGCACGGGCAAGGGAGAGCGGCAGCGCCGTGAGCGCGGGCAGGCAGGCGAGATGCAGCGCGGCAAGCGAGGGCAGCTGGCTGATGCGATCGGGCAGTCTGGAGAGGCGAGGGAGGGCGGAGACGTGGAGGTGGTCGAGGAGAGGGAGGGAGCAGAGGGAGGAAGGGAGGTGGGGGAGAGAGGGGAGGGTGGAGAGGAAGAGGTGGCGAAGGTTGGTGAGGAGAGAGAGGGAGTCGGGGCAAGAGGCGAGGCGAGGCAGGTGGGAGAGAGCGAGGGTGTGGAGGGAGGAGAGAGAGGGGAGGGAGGAAGGGAGAGAGGAGAGGGGCGGGAGAGAGGAGAGGGGCGGGAGAGAGGAGGGGTCGGAAGGCAGGGAGGGATGGGAGGGGGGGTGGAGGAGAGGCAGGCGATGGATAGGAGCGGACGGAGAGGGGGGAGGCAGGAGAGATCCAGTGTAGTGCCATCATGGTGCGGCATGGCGCTGTGCCTGGCGCCCATGGTGCCCCTGGCAGGCCCATGGGCAGCAGCATCAGCATCTGCACTTGCGAGCGCCAGTGCTCCACGTGCTGCTCTCCGCCCTGCATGTCTGTGCCTCCCCCTGGCACTCCAATGCCCCCCACATCCCCCATGCCACCGCCCTCCCCTCTCCCGCCCAGCACGAGCAGGTTAAGGCGAGAGAGGCCGGCCAATGCGCGTGGTGGGAGAGCGGCGAGGGGCGGGCAGGCGAGGAGCGTGAGGGCACGCAGGCAGGTGAGGAGGGAGAGCGAGGCGGGCAGGGAGGAGAGGAGGTCACTGGCGACGACTGAGAGGGAGAGCAGTGAGGGGAGCAGCGGACGCGATGGGGGAGGGTGGGTGGAGGAGGGGAGGGGGAGGAACGCGAGGGGGGTTGTCGCGGAATGAGGGGAGGCGAGGCGGGGAAGGAAGGCCATTGACTCGGGTAGCTCGACCAGCCGGTCGCAGCTAGTCACTGCGAGACACGTCAGCTGTGACAGCTGGCCGAGAGTACCGGGCAGAGATGAAAGCAGCGGCATATCGGCGAGGGCAGGGCAGGCGAGGGAGAGGGAGGTGAGGGAGGAGAGCGAGGCAGGGAGGGATGAGAGCTTGCGGCAGTGCATGAGCGTGAGGTCGACCAAGCGTGTGACTCGGGCAGCGCTGCCAGCTCGACCAGAGACGACAGGCGCACGGAGTGCAGGGCCACCAATGGAGTGTGGTCACCGGGCCAGGGCGAAGTTGTTGGCCATGCACAGGTGGGAGACGCGAGTGAGGCGGGCCGTGGACTCAGGCAGCTGGCACAGCTCAAAGCAGTGCGCCACATGCAGCTCCTGCATGCCCGAGAGTCTCGGGCAGGCGTTGGAAGGAACCAGAGAGGTGCAGGCGGTGCAGATTGGAGGGACGGGCCACGGCGGGGGGGAGGGAGTGGAGGGCGTGCACGCAGAGGTGAAGGGATGTTAGGGACACTAGCTTGCTGACGTCGTCGGGCAGGGAGGAGAGGGACGGGAGGGACAGGTGCAGGGAGGTTAGGCCCTCGAGTCGGCAGACGGCGGGCGGCAGCTGCGGCAGTGGCGCGGCGTGCAGCAGCAGCACGTGCAGGCGCGGCAGCGCGCTCACTGCGGCGCTGACGGCCTCCGCGCTCACGGCGGAATGCTCCGGGCGGACGCGGAGGTCGGAGAGGCGCGGGCAGGCGGCGGGCAATGCGCGGAGGAGAGCGTCGGTCATGGGCAGCACGCTGCGCGGGGGAAGGTCGAGCGCGGTGAGGTGGGAAGCGCGCGAGGCAGAGCAGCAGCGACTGTAGCGGGAGTTGGAGGAACTCTTTAACGCGTACGGTGGTCAGCGCGTGGCAGGCGAGGCGGTGCCATCGCTTGCACACGAGCGCGTGGGCGAATGCGACGCCGTGACCGTCGCACATGTGGTCGTCATCGCCGCAATCGTCGCCGTCGCCGCTGTTGCCGGCGCTACTATCTCGGCATCCGGCAGCGAGGAGACGGAAGATTCGGAGGAGCAGGTGGTGGGGTAGGCGGGAAAAGGGCGAGCCATGGGCGTCGTTGCACGGGAGGCGGGCGGCGGGGCGACGGGAGGGCGGTGACGAGGGAGGGGGTGAAGTCGCCATGCACGAGGAGACGCGCTCGCGACACGCGAGGTGAGTGACTCGGTGGTGACAGAGAGATTAGGTGCTTTGCGAGAACGCGCGGAATCGGCCGATGAATGCGGCTCAATGACCGCGGGCAGCGCATTGCAAAACAGCACAATGACTTCAGGTTGGTCTTTCAGCTAGCGGTAAGACCATTCAAAAGGAATTTTCAAAATACCCACCCAACCAATCCAAGCATTGAATCTAAGCATTTGGTCCGTATCAACACGAACTAAAAACACCCGCCCTCACCACTTATTTACAACGACGTGGGGTTGTAGCTTAGTTGCAAGGGGCATGAGTGTTTCTGTGCTCGGCATGTGCCGTATACGGTATTCATCGCATTTCAACCATGAGTGGGGGGCAAAAAGCCCCTCACACACGAGTCCACACAATGTGGGCACACCTCTGAACCACTACTGCTTGATTTGTCGCCACCCACCCCCCCTCTCACACGTCCTTCCATGCCCGTCCCCTGTGCTGCTGCCTCATGCCCCTCCCATACGGGACCCGAGCAGCGAGTGACGGTGGTGGCGCCGGGGTGGCAGGGCGAGGGGCGGTGGCAGGCGGTGGTGGCACGGATACACAGAGAGGGAGATGCTGCGAGCGCCGGTGGTGCAGCGCCCATGCGGTCCCAGAAGAGGTGCGTGGCGGCGCGTGCCACGTGCTTGAACTGCTCACGGCCTGCACGGCGCACACACGCAGTAGAGGGGTTCACGGCACACGCACAGGAGCTTACTGGTTGCAATGCCATTGGGCAGCACACAAGAGCGCAGTCCACAAATGGAGCATGACCGACACATGGGATGACTGCCTGCCACTCCACATGTTGCCTGCACGACCACCACTCCACATGTCAAACTGAATTCTGTACTCTTATTCATTTGGCAATGCCACCTGCTCCCATTTCTTACCTATCGTTTTGTTTGTATAGAGGGGATGCAGATATCGCTTCACTGCACGCACCACCGCCTCCCTCTCCTCCCTTGCCCCCTCGCTGCTCCTGCTCCCAGTGCCCCTCTCTGGTTTCACCTCCCCATCGCCCCTCCCACCTCCACCACCCTTGCTCTCACCACTCGCACTCATGTCATTCGTTCCTCCCTTGGTTGCGCCTCTCACTGCATCCTCGCCACTGCCACGGTCTGCTCGCCCCAACGGCACCAAGCTGCTGCTGCCTCCATCCGTGTTCCCAGTTGCCCTGCAGCTCCGCACGCCATACCCCTCCTCACCTCTCGCCCATGCGCTCCTCTCCTCCTCGGCACTACCAGCAGCGTCATCAGCCTTGCCTGTGCTCGGTCCTTGCGCCACCTTGCGCCCTGACCCACAACGGTCAGCCGCATCATCACCAGCACAGCACTCCACTTTCACACCTCTCCACTCGCCCCCTCCCTGTGCCACCTTCTCCCCACTGCTCAACATCCCACACCCTCTCTCCCCTTCCTCAACCCCCGTCTCAGCCTTTACCTTCCGCCCCAACTCTCCCACTCTCACATACGTCCCCTCGCCACTGTCCCGCCCCTCTTCTCTTGTCCCATTGCCTCTCCCCGTGCGCATGCATCGCCCCTGCCCAAGTGGCGGCGCATCACGTGCAAGCATCACGGCAGGGCTGCCCACGTCCCTCGCCTGCTCACTCGCATCTTGCACCGCGCCCCGCCACTCGCCCTCCCTCCCCTCCTGCTCCCTCGCACTCGCTCGTCTCTCCCGCACTCGTCGGAGCCCCCACACGCCCACCAGCCCCGCGCCTCCCTGCACCTCGTCTGCCTACTGCTGCCGCTGCTCCTCCTGCTCCCCGCACACCGCGTCACTGCCGTTCACCTGCAGCGCCCTCCTCTCACAAGCCGCACCACGTGGCATTGTTGGGGGGCGCGCAGGGCAAAGAGGGGCGGGCGGGAGCGAGGGCACAGAAGGCGTGGAGAGGGAGGAGAGGGAGGGCATGGGAGGTAGCGAGGAGGAGGTGGCAGCTGATGCTGCTGCCTGCTTGGCCGCCAGGGCACGCGAGGCAGCGAGCAGGGCAGATGACACAAGGCTGCTGCCGCCTGATGCTGCTGACGTGGATGCGCATAGTGATGCCGTGGAATCGCCATCCCTGCCACTCCTGCTGCCACTGCTGCCATGAACCACCGCCGCACCACGTAACGGCACTAATGCAGCGGGCGCCCTCCCTGCCATGCCGCCCCTCAACCCTCTCGCTCCACCACCCACCAACCCTGCCCCTCTGCCTCCCTCTACCATCGCACCACCGCGTGCTGCACTCCTGGTGAGGCTGGCAGCAGCGCCACGGCCCAGGGCAGCAGCAGCCATGCGCGCCCTCTCAAACTGCCGCCACGCCCTCTCATCCTCCTCCGCTCCGCTCGCCCTCCCTCCCACCGCACTCGCATTCCCCACGCCCCCCCTGCTGTGCGCGCTGGCGTGCAAGGCAGCATGGCGGCCAGCAGGAGACGATGGCAGAGCGGGGCTGACAATGTCGTGGATGGATGGCGGGGACACACGCATGGGACCGCCGCCACCACCAGCAGCAGCAGCAGGGACAGCGGTGGCAGCAGCAGCAGCAAGCCCACCATAGCTGCCAGCGCTGCTGCTGGCCTGCTGACTCCGCACCCCTGCCCCTGCCCCTGCAACCGACCACCGGTTGTTGCTCCTCAGCTGCGCCACCTGCTGCCTCTGCCTGGCCGCCACCCCTGCTGCCAGCACGCGCAGGGCACTCGATGTGAACGTACCCGCCCTGCCCGAAACACTCCCACCGCCCCTCCTGCTGCCTGCCACTGTCCTCGCCATCCTCCTCACTCTCCTCCTCCTCACCTTCACCCGCCGCTTCCTGCCCCTGCCCATGCCCCCCGCACCTGTGCCGGCTGTCGCTGCTGCCCTGCGCCGCTTCACCCGCCTGCGCCCACTGCACCCTGCCTTGCGCTTCCTGCTGCCCGCTGCTGCCCCACTGCCCACTGCACCTGCAGGGGCGGGGCGGGCAGGCGCAGCAGGGTTGGAGGAGGAGGGCGTGTACCTGCCAGCACATATGCGCGCTGCTATGCTCTCGTCCTCACTGCCCCCCACACTGCTGCTGCTGCCACCATCGGCACCCCCATCACCCTCAGCATCGTCCTCAGCGTCCTCTTCCCCCTCACTCTCACTCCACTCCCCCTCACCCTCATCCTCATCCTCATCCTCCTCACTCGCGTACTCGCCTCCCCCATCTTCCACATCCTCATCGTCCTCCCACCCACTGCCTTCATCGCTATCTGCCACCACAGAGCTTCCCACTCCTCCTCCCCCGCCCAACCCCATTCCCCCACCTCGCTCCCTGCTCACCGCCCTTCCTCCCCTCCCTGGCACCGCTGCCCCCTCGCCCCCCTGCGCCCCCTGCGCGCCGTGCTGTGCGTCGCCTGCGAGCAAGCGGGCGAGGGCGGAGACGCAGGGGGGGCAGAGCCAGTCGCCGCGCGGCACGGAGGAGCCCAGCCCCACGCAGTACGTGTGCGCCGCGCCGTCACAGCGGTCGCACAGCAGCAACAGCCGCTCGTCGCTGCTGCCGCCGCACTCCATGCACCCCGCATCGCTGTACGGCTCCAACGCTCCACCTGCCGCTGCCGCTGCCAGGTCAGCTGATGCCAGCTCCGCTGCCAGCTCAGCATCGGCTTCAGTGTCCACTGTTCTTGACTGGGGGGGAACGGAGCGGGAGGGAGCAAAGGCACGAGCGGGGAGAACGAAGTGCCATTGCGGGTTAGCCAGGAGATTGTACACTTTGTTAGAGGCTCGTCGAAGCAAATGATGGCCATGTGTTCAGCATGGTGGTGGCACGCACGGCAACAATATGGGGCACAATCACTGTGCTCTCTGCTTCCCACACACACCACCGCATGCCATTCCCTCCTCTCCTCCCCCCCCCTCGCTCCCCTCACCTGGTCCCTGAGCGGCACTCGGATCGTGACTGCCCTGGCGGACCGCCGTCTGTTGCCCGCCCCGCGCTCGCCCTCCTCGCCCGCCTGCCCCTCCCGCTCGCTGCTCTCCCTGCCACTGCCCGCCCCGCCACCACCACGCCCGTGCGGGGGCGGCGCGAGGCGGCGGATGCGAGTGAAGCGGCGCTTGCACAGCGGACAGCGCGACTCCACCTGGGCGCTCGCGAGGCCGCGTTGGTGAACGGGAGTGGGGGACGAGTGGGGAGGGAGAAGGGGGAGGAAAAGGCAAGCGCAAGGGGTTTCTTGGGAGGCGGGCGTTGAAGTAAGGGAGGCCAGCACGGGGTCGAGGAGGGCAGGGGGCTTGGGAGGCTACGCGCAGGGGAGGCGGAGGAATCAAAGCGGGGGGAACTGGGCGACGCGAGACGCGATGCAACGAGTGACGGAGTCGCGGTGGTGTGACGCGATGCGCGAAAACGAACGGGATATGCGCAGGTAGGCGCAATGGCGCGCGGGAGCGGGTACCTGCGACCACTTGAGGATGCAGGGGAAGCAGAAGAGGTGGTCGCAGCAGTCCAGCGCGCCCTGCTGCAGCGCGCGCGCCCCCACGTCGTCCAGGCAGATCCCGCACCACCTCTCGCCCTCGCCGCCGCCATCGCTCTCGCTCCTCGCCTCTCCCCCGCCCGCCCGCTCGCCGCCATCGCATCCCGCCGCGGCGCCCATGCGCTGCTCCCCGCCCCTCTGTGCCTCTGCCTCGCTGCCGCACGGCCGTGCCAGCAGAGACGGCTGCATGCGCGAGAGCGAGCGGACGGCCACCACCAGCACCTCCGCGCACCCCCGAAGGTTCTTTTCTGTGGGTGCGCTTGGCTCTATTCCTCGTTGGCTCGTCACGATAGGTCCCGTGCGGTGAAGGGATGCAGCCAGAGCCTCTGAGGTGGATGCTGAAAATGCACTTCCGTGGGTGCGTTGCGGTACCCTGGTGCAAGATCAGGATCTGGTGGGGGTTCAACTGGCATGGACTGAGATTGCATTCCCCGTTCGGACACCATCCGAAGTTTGCCCACCTGAAGGCATTTTGGCGTTTGGATGGTGTCCGTGTGGGGCAGGGCCCCACCTCGGACATTTGGTAGTGTCTGGCATGCGACCCTTGTCGTCCGTGTCGTTTGGGTTCGCGACCAATCAGAGAAGGACGCATTACAAAAAAGTAGCGTCACCTGCTAACGACCAAAACAGAGTTTCGGGCTTAAAAAAAAAACAAGAAAATCCAATTTCGGGCTGATTGCTTGGTATATAAGCGATAAGTGAATTTTCTACTTGGATTGGCAGGCCATTGGAGGAAACGAGCCCGCAACAAAACACGAAAGGAAAGTTATGTTTGCAGAAATTCCTGGTTTGTTGCACAATCGCACAGTTATACAGTTGACGTGCATGCTGGTCGCACGTTCGGTGGCCGACTGAAACCGAGTGTCCAGACTTCGGACCGTGTGGCCCAACATTGAAATGTCATTTTTTTAAATTGCGCACCGCGTGGGCAGACTTCGGATGGTGTCCGAACGGGGAAAGCAATTTGAGCCACGTCGCCATCTCACCACCCAATTCCTACCAGACGGGAACCCTCCGCTCACAAATGCGAGGGAAACCTGACAAGATGGCCTTTGCACATACACACATTGGTTTGACCAATCACATGACGGTTCATTTCAAACAAAAATGAAACCGTCATGAAAGTGCAAAATGGCGGTTTCATTTTGGGAAAATATGTCAATGGTAACTTACATGGGCACCTTAACGCGTACGGTAACGATTTCAACGCGTTTGGTAACTCGCTTAACGCGTTTGGTAACTCGCTTAACATGTTTGGTAATTCGATTAACACATTTGGTAACTCTACACTAGCAGCCCATCACGCGAATGGTAACTACATGAAATTCCCGCCGAAATTTTCCTGACACTGAGGATTTTATCGAGTTTGAGAGCTTTTACGCACATTATTATCGTTCTTGAATGCGTTCTGCCACGAATTTGAAGAACCTCGTTTGTTCTATTACCACGGACCGAAACGTTCGGATTTTATATAGATATATATATGTAGCTCATACAAAGATGATTAAAATCATATTTTGATAGCATGATTTCGAACTTGCAAAACGATAAAAAAAAACATTTCCCGAAAAGACATCGGGAAATTTTACCTTTTTATATACTGCAACGTTGGAGAATTTTTTCATGTGGGAAAAGTAAACCTTTTTTTCAATTACATCTTTCATTTTTTTAATAAAGATCCATAAACGCCTGGTCGCAAGAAGTTTAGGGTCGTTGCTCTCAAATTTATTTGCCATCTGAAAGGGATATAGATTTGTTTGCCCCGGCTGCACGATAGAATAAAGTACAAACAGTTTGCGGAAAGTGCGCCAGAAACATTTATGTTTTTTTTTTTTGCTTATATGGGATATACACCAGAGCAGAACTGTACAACACATAACAGTCGTAACTGTTTCATGAGAAGCAGGGCGCGAGCCCGCCTCAAAAGATAACGATCCCTACACGTGGATCCGGGGCCTGTGTGGCATGCCCCACAGTGCCGCAAAGCCGTTCGACCACCGCCAGCTTCTGCCCTCCACAACACGAATGCAATTCAGCAGGTGTTGTTCCGTTTCTGTCAGTTTGCGCCACCTGGCCTGTTGTTGCATGCCACGCTGCTGCATTTTAACTGCCAGGCGCGCTCGGGCGGTGAGATCGGCTGCAACTGACATGCCTTTTCCTTACACGAGCTTTTCATCACATAGCGCTTGGGCCATGATCCCACGTGGTGTTGTACATCGATCAACAGCTCCGGCCAATAGTAATACCGCTATAGTTGCTGTCGCGTCTCTTCTACCCCGAAGTGACCATAGGTAACCCGTGAGTACGATGGCTCTGCCTAGTGGGACTTACCTTATTGTGCTTTATGTTGCTTTTTTTTTCTCTCTTATTTTGTACGCTTTTTCTCAATTTCTTACATTCGTTGCTAAACTATACTTATCATAGTTACAAGCACCAGATAGTTTGCATGCACCAAATTCGGTGCTTTTTGGTTGCCACCTGTTACAATCTCAAGTGGGACTTAGCGAAAGGATCGTACAGGGTTGATCGCAGGCGGTGTCGCAGCAGAAGTATTGAACTCAGGTCAGAGTGAATGTAAATGACTGAGATTGATAATAGCATGCATACATTGGGTTTATATAGAAATACAAAGGAATGCGAAACGACCTAGACTAGCCATGTACTCTAAGGGGTACATTCCCTTATTGCAGCGAAATTCAAACCGTGCGGCGCGGGAACCAGTTTCAAACCTGTTCCCGCTCTTTTCATTTCAAATGTTTCTGCCTGCATCGGTCTTGATCAGACGGTTGCTGTGTCGCTTCGACTCTTCTGACTCCTCGTCTTCGTACTCGGTAGAGTCGGCTCCTGCAGCATACAGGAATGCCTTCTCATAAAACTTCATATCGTAACACTCCCCTTCATTCCTGGACGCGAAGGGTGCTGACTCGCTTGACCACTCCGGTGAGGTCGGAGCAGTGCTTGTATTGCTGACGTGGAAGACGCTTGGTGAGGAAGTCGGCTGCCATCTCAGTGGTCGGGCAGTACGCGAGATCAACTTTGCCCTGGTTGATTTCATCCTTGACGAAGAAGTACCGCAGTGCGATGTGCTTCGTGCGGTTCACGAACCCAGGCTTTTTTGCGATCTTGATCGCGCTCTGTTGTCGCAGTGCAGGCGAAAGGTAGGCGAGGTTGGAATTTTCGCTTCCTGTAGCAGCTCCTGCAGGTACAGGCCTTCGCGAACTGCTGCTGTCGCGGCGATGTATTCAGCTTCAGCCGATGACAGGGCAACCAGTTCCTGCTTCTGCGAGTTCTAGCAGATGGGGCCAGTTGGCTCCAGTCGAAAGACGAAGCTGGTTCGGGACCATCGATTCGTTGGGTCAGCGGCGTGATCTGCGTCCACGTAGCCGTTGAGGTTGAAGGATGTTGTTGACAGCGTGGAGTAGGAGAGCCCGATGTCAGGTGTGGAGATGAAATACTGCAGAGCGCGATCCAGGTCCAGCTGGTTCTCGGCTACTGGCTTGCGGGAGTACTGTGCCAGTTGGCTGGCGATGTACGAAAGGTCGGGTCGGCATGTGACAGAGGCGAACAGCAGGCAACCCACTTGCTGCTGGTACAGTTGAAGTCCCGCAAGGGACAGAGGCTTGTTGTCCGGTTTGTAGTTGGTGCTGGGGTTGCGGTAGGGAGTTGAGAGTGGTGCGCGTGAGATGTTGAAGCGTTCCCCTAGCTGTTCTGCGTATTTGGAAGCTGACAAATAAATTGCTTCTGGCGCGTAGGTGATGTTCAGGCCCAAAAACTGAGTGACTTTGTGGTTGATGGTGATGTCCACGCGCTTCGCCAGGTTTTCCTCGAACTGGTTAAGAAGCTGGTTGCAGGTGCCAGTGTAGAGTAGGTCGTCGACGTAGACGGTAAGGAGGATGTAGTCGCCGTTGAAGTGGAGGCGGTACATTCCCGGGTCGTGTGGCAGCTTTCTGAAGCCGATCTTGAGTAGAATCTTGTGCAGGTGCTGTTGCCAGAGACGAGGCGCCTGCTTGATCCCATAGAGGGATTTCTTCAGCTGGCAGACCCTGGGGTCTCCTTCTCCGTAGGTGTGTGGCTGCTCCACAAAGATGGTTGCGTCCACTAATCCATATAAGAATGCGTTCTCCACGTCGATCTGTCGCATTGACAGATGCTTAGCGACCGCTATGGCGAGTAGAATCCTGACGGAGGTCTGATGGCTGACGGGAGCGAAGGTTTGATCGAAGTCGATGCCGTGGCGCTGGTCGTATCCTCGTACGACCCAACATGCCTTGAAGCGCTCAATGGTTCTATCAGCGTTAGTCTTGAGACCAAAAACCCAATTTTCCGCTTAGCACCCTCCTCCCCTTCACTGCTGCACGATCGACGAGAACCCATGTATCGCGGGACTCCAGCGCTTTTTGCTCAGAATCCATCGCGGCACGCCACTCCTAAGCGTGAGGGCCGGTTAGGGCCTGGCGCGGGTTCTTTGGTCCGGGCGTGGGAGCGTGGTCGTCATCGTCGGTGCGAGGGCGAGAGGGAACACCGGGATGGTTGTCGGTGTCGTCGCGATCGAACGCTGCTACTGCTGCTTCGTCCTCAGGAGATGCAAAGCTGCGGCCGCTGTTGACGTAGCCACGAGCTTGGTTGCGCCTCTCGTCCTCGATCCATTGCTGCAAGGTGAGTCGTTTGTAGAAGAGAACGTCGCGCGCAGGGACAATCCCCTTGCTGTCGATGTCAAGAACAAGCCAGCCCTTGTGCTCATTGCTGAGCCCCAAATGAATGCCCCAGCGTGCGCGCTGAGCAAACTTGCCGATTGTGGCTGAAGTTGGCCGATACTGCACCATGCACCCCCAAACCCTCAGCATGGAGGGGTCTCCCCTTGAGCCGGTCCATTTCATGTGCGGGGAAAGGTTGTCCCTGTTGGCCGTGGTGGAGAGGAGGTTGTACAGGCGCACCGCGTGGTTCATGGCGTAAGGCCAGAACTTCTTGGGCAGGCCGGACTGGTTCATGAGGGCGCGCACTTTCGTCATGAGGGTGCGGTTGACCCTCTCCGTGACGCCTTGCTGCTGGTGAGCGTAGGGGAGGGAAATCTCATGCTTGATTCCCTTCTTGGTGAGAACACTCTCCAGTTCGTGGCTGCG